ATATACACCATAGTATATTAGTTCTCATTCAAAATTCATTAAAATATACCATTGATATATTAATAGTAGGTTTATATTTAAATTTGGTAATTTTGAATGTTTGACAGCGACCTACCTTTTTCTTTTAAATTAAAACTAATACTGCATGCATGTCAGGATTAATTTATAAAAATAAAAAATAAAAAAAAAACGTTGTCGAATCCAAAAACGAGTTCAAAACTCAAAGAAAATTATTATATTAACCTAACTGTGATGAGGTGAATAAAATGTAGAATAAATGTTTGACTTTCTTCCATGGCCATTTTAGTAGACACCATCATCTATACCATGCCTAAGACTAAAAAATAAATGAATATGAATTCAAATTAAAGCTTACTAATAACCATACTTACTGAATCATCTACAAAAGTCACTTTTATATATGTAAATCAAAACACATGCTTTTATAGGAAAAAGTTCGTAATTCACTCCGAATTGAGTTCGTATTGCATATTATCTTTTCGAAAATATTTATCTTTTCAATTAATAGATTTATAAGGATAAAAACAATTTGTGATATAATTTTATACAAACACCTCATGTATGACACTCCACTCGCATGTGTTCGTATGAATGAGTATGAGATTAGATAAGAAATTATCGTATAACTGTAACGTCCCTATTTTTTCTAATAAAATAGAAACACCACTATAAACATGACATGTTTTAAAAGGATTCCTCTTTAAAATGAACATGCCTAGCCACGCCATCCTCACTTATATGGGTGTACCTTTATCTTAAAATAAAAAATAAGATTAGCATTTGGCTTAAGCATTTCAAGAAATACTTCGTAAGTAGCCTTATTATTGCCGTCAGAAAACTCAATCACATGCAATCATGATTATGACCTATCATTTCGTAACTATCATGTTCTTGGTCTCACTTTCTAGTTCGAGTTGAATTGGATGTGCACACGTACATGGCCCCTAGATGGACTCATAAACCAGTCTTTCAACTAGCATACACTCATGTTGCTGGAAAAATCTAGAGGAAAAGGAGTGCATGTAATATCATGGTGTACATAATATCATAGTGTACCCATCCGTACTAATCATAATGGGGAAGTACCCTGATGTACATAATATAAAAAATGCATGAGATACTCATAAATTTAAGTCATGACATATACGTATGATGTGGTTCATACCTTCATTCTTTCATAACATAATTTTGAAGGGAACATACTAACATGGTGGGCATGGCATAACATAACATATAGAGATATCATGCATCATACAACATGGGAGTCACAACAATATCCATAACATATCATAATATAAATTACAACATAACATTGTTAAGTCTGCCGATGATCACCATATCACCATACATCCTTTTTTGAATTATTAGTAGACCCACGATGAAATCCATAACATATTTTCCTATTTCTAATTTGGAACGCTCAAAGGTTGCAACAACCGTGTCATCCTTGGGTTGTCATAATCGATCCAGCATTTGTCACATAATTTTCACTTCTTGACTCATCACTAATTTTATTACATCTTTCTAGAACTCATCTCCCGCCTTCCTTTGTAAGATTCCACCATTAGACATCTTGAACTTGTCCTACTTTTTAGTATCAATCATATGCACTATCTACTATTTTGGTTGTCTCCTTCAACGTTTTCTTCTAAAGGGATAATTGCCCTTCGTACATGGTTTTTCTTTAGGATGAAAATTTAGTTAATCACTAGCAAGGTTGAATATTTAGTTGACCTATCATTTTCAAATACGTAGCCACTCTGAAATCTACCTGTGAGCATCAATAGCCTAGTGTAAATTTAATATAAAGGATCTTTAGGGGTAGTTCCCTTCTTTTTTTCATGGTTCATATTCCAAATATGTTCGAATCACTTCGTAATATATGGTCATAAATGAGTTTCACATAAAGTTTCATAACATTTGGAGTCTATTAGGAGGTTGAAACATTTCAAAATTCTTATATGGTATTTTAGTTATTAACCATAAAAATCTTAGTTTAAGTTCTTAATATATTCCGATGCACAGCTCCTTTAAACTAAGACACCTTATAAAATTTCATGTTATTTAGAGGTCATTTGGGTTATAAGCCTTCCATTAAAATTTCAAGAACAATGGAGTCTATTTAGAGAGTTATTTTAAAATCACTTGAATCTAGAACAATTTCTGGTTTAGGTCCTTAAATTTTGGTTCTTTGACTTAATTCTTCCATAATCCTTTAAATCTTACTTAATTTAGGGTTCATATAGATTTTGAAGCCATTCTTACAAGTAAAACTTGAGAAAAGTTAAGATTGGCCCGAAAACAATTCCTATACTTTTCATCATCATAGATCTCCCACCCCGCTCAATCCCAATTCATGGTTTCATAGCTGTAAGTCATTTTTGGACATCACAACAACACCCTTACAAGTCGGAAAAAATTTGATCATTATTGTGACATCTTAAATCACCTCGTAAGTTTCACACCTACGGTTATCCTCGAACTTGACTTTAAATCTTACAATTAGTGTCGGGACAAGGAGATATCTACATTCCATTACTTTTAAAACTCAACTTCCATTAAAGGCATTCACGGCGATTACAAATTAGTTTAAGTATAAAGTGTTTGAACTTTCATTGTGTTAGCTTGTAAAATTTCCCTTTGGTAAGCCTAAATCATTTTCTTCCATGTTCATACCTACCTAAGATTTTATAGTTACTTCGTAGTGATGAAATTTTTCTACGACACTACCACTCTCAATGTCCATAGTAGCCTATAGAATCTTACTGTCTACCAAGCCTACTTGATTATTTTCATTTGAAGTAATTTACTAGTATACATGGATACATCCTTTTTCGCCTATTTGACTATGACATTACATTTGTTTTCTACCTTTTGAGACATCTAATTGAAAAATCTAATCTTTCTCAACAAAATAATTTTCACGTGTATACTAGTGTTTAGTGGCCTACTACTTTTCAAGATGCTATTATTTCACAATTTCAATACAAATTTTACTAAATCTAAACATGTTTTGAATCATCCATACATGAGGTAGCACTCACATTCTAAGAATAGCAAATCACAACATAACAAAGCATCATTTATTATCTTCACTAAGACATACCTGACGGTGACAAAGGTTGCAAGACCATGAAAATAAAGCATCCGCTATAAGTCCATGAAAACATTCAAAGCCTACATCATAGACTAGTCTACACAATCTAAAAACTTAGAGCTTTGATACCAATTTTAATGACCCTATTTTTTATTAATAAAATAAAGACGCCACTATAAGCATAACACGCCTAATACGCATAGAAAAAATCCTTTAAAACATTTCATAAACCATTCATGGACTTAAATATTTACAAAATTCATCTACAAGAAATGTAACAATCAATGGAAAAACGAAAGGGAAATAACTTGAAGGTTAAAGAAATGAAAATACACCTAATCAAACCTAAGGGCTACAACTAAAATACCAATCTAACTCCCCTATTTTTGGTTTCATGGCCTTGACGGCAACACCATCACAAGTATAGGGGTGTCTTGCCTTAACATGAAAAATAAGAGTAGCAAGTGACTTGATTATTATAAAAAATAACCGGTAAGTAGCCCCACTGTTAAGGTCAGAAGTGCAATCACATGAAATCATAAATTAGGCATATCCTTTCATCATTATCATGGCCTTGGTCTCACTTTCGAGTCTTCGACGAATTGGATGTGTAGTACTCCTGTACACATGTGCACGGGCCCCAAGGAAAACTCGTATATGTACCCATGGACCTGGCCGTCAGCTAGTATACACTCTCGCTATTGGTAAAACTCAGAGGGAAAGGAGCATGCATAATATCATGGTGTACATAATATCGTAGTGTACACATTCGTACTAATCATAACGAGCAAGTATTCCCGATACACGTGACACACAAAATGCATGAGATATCTATAAGTTTAAATCATGACATCTATGTTTGATGCGGTTCATACCTCCATTATTTCATAACATAACTATCATGAATAGCATATTTTTGTTTAACTGTATTTTATAAACCTGAAGTGAACATGCTAACATGGTGTGCATGACATAATATGTAGAGTGTCATGCATTATACAACAATTTCCAAAGCACAGGCCACAACGTAATCACAACGTAGCAAAACATATGTCACAACATAACGTAACATAATACATATAAATAGTCACATAGTACAACCATGGAGAGGATACAGAGCATGCGTTAGTAAAACCAACAAAATCCAACTCTCTCAAAAGCGAGAGCAAATGTTACGAGTGAAAAATAGTTATAGATTAAATATGAAATTAATAGAGACTCAAGACATCAATTACCCAAAATTAGAGTGAGAAAGAACTTAAGAGATAGTTTAACCGCACCCAAGAGGGTCGTTCGATCCCCAAAGACTAACCTCTTTGGGGATCAGCTTAGAGTCCTACACGTTACTCATTTTACAAAAATACATGTTACACATAATACAAAAGATATCAACCTACTCAATCTTCTATTACATTACAAAATAAACTAAAAAATACAAAAGATATCGACCTACTCAATCTTCTATTACGTTACAAAATAAACTAAAAAAAGTTAAGTGAAAGCGATATTAAATCATACTCATAAATATAGTACTTTCTAACATCCAAAACATTCACAAACTCAATACTAACACGAGCGTCCAAGTGTATAACTCGACACTAGACCAAGCACGATTCTTTTTACCTTGCACGAAAGTTCAACATCCATTATAAAATTTCAATTTCCATTCAAACGATGAATGATTGTAATCGAAACAATTGTTTTGTTTGAATCATAATGATGAAAAATTGAGAAGAAAATCGGATAAACGCGTTGAACAAATTAGTAATAAAAAAAAAAAAAAAAAGAGATATCAATGCCCCAAATGGGTCCCCATGATAGTTGCTTAAAATACTCGGTTTTCACACCACATTCCCCTCTCTCTTCGCCTCTATAAGTTCTCTTACATTCCATTAAGGAAACCAAAAGGAACAAGAAAAATGGGTTCCCAAATCTTGTTCTTCTTCATGTTCTCATTGCTCTCAATTTTCTCCACCATTTCGGAATCTGCCTTAGTGCCTGCAATCTATGTGTTCGGAGACTCATTAGTCGACGTTGGAAATAATAACCATTTGAAGCTTTCAATAGCCAAGGCCAACTTTCCCCACAACGGAATTGATTTTCCGACCAAAAAGCCGACCGGGAGATTCTCTAATGGCAAGAATGCTGCGGATTATATTGGTATGTCCGACATAAACCCTAATTTATGTTTTTTTTTTTTCTTTTTTCTTTTTGTAAAGATAAACACACCCAATAGAGAGAACTAGAAGAGGCTGGATATATTCTCTTCCTGTCCTTTTCAAGATATTTAAAACTGAAAAAAGATGAAAGAGAGAAGGAATAGCCTCATATATAAATCTTAAAACTAAGGGTACGAATGATATATAATAATCTTCTAACTATACAAAATAAATTAATATTTTATCAATTAAATTGGGAAGGAGAATGAAAGCCTCCTGGACAATATGTCAAGGAGGAGGCAACCCCCAAAGGGGGTGGACACGAGGCGGTATGCCAATAAGGACGTTGGCCCCAAAAAGGGGTAGATTGGAGAGTCCCACATTGATTGGAGAAGAGCTCGAGTGCCAACGAGGACACTAGGCACCGAAAAGAGTGGATTGTGAGATCCCACGTCGATTGAGGAAGAGAACGAAGCATTATTTATAGGGGTGTGGAAACCTCTCCCTAACAAACACGTTTTAAAAACCTTGAGGAAAATCCTAAAAGGAAAAGACAATATCTGCTCGATATGAGCCTAGGTTGTTACCTAGAGTTTTGGTTTTAAGTCCGTGTATATATATAGTGTTGTAGGTTATTTTTCTTCAAAATTCATGTACCAATACAGCCCTAAAACGCGAGCGAAAAGTAGTTGATGGTACACGGGAAGCAAAACTATTTTTAGGTATTGGTTGTATCATACATATCAAAATCATGGAACGAGCATTAGGAGCATACTCAGCTTTTTACAACTCACAAGCTTGTTGAATTAAAGCTTTTAACGTGGCAAATTCTTCTTTGTTTTCTTTAATATTTAATTTTTGTTAATGGATGGTTAAAGTGGACTACAAACAAAATGGTACCCCTAATGTATGCCAAACTATATTGCTCTAAACTTAAAACCCACAAAACTGGAGCCCACGTGTTCATGTGCATTCACGAAACGAACATGTGATGCTCATATCATATCAAACCTTTTTTTTTTCTTTATAAACAATATTTTAATAGTATTGTATCCCACGACATGTCTAAATAACACATACGTGGCTGAATTAATTATGCTAATTATCCATAAAATATATGTTTAAATTTTTTCAATTTTGATATAAAAAAATAAAAATTTGGACAGCCGAGAAGGTGGGGTTGCCGACATCGCCGCCATATCTGTCTCTCATATCCAAGTTCAGAAAGGTTATCAACACGAAACCCTTTAAGACAGGCGTAAGCTTCGCTTCGGGCGGTGCGGGAATCTTTAACGAAACAAATAATCTTTTTGTAAGTTCCTTATCTCGTATCTAATATATTTTTGAACTTTCAATCTCGTATAATACATCTTCGAATCTATTTTGACATAAGTCGTGTAACATGTTTAAGAATTTATTATAGGTCAAATTAAAAGTTATCATAAAATAGAAGATAATTTGTGTTTTGGTTTCTTGGATTTTTTTAGAAGCAATCGGTGGCGATGGACCAACAAATTGAGTATTATTCGTTGGTGTATCAAAAGCTGGTAGTAGAGCTGGGATTGTCTGCAGCGCAAGCACACCTCTCCAAATCGCTGTTTACCGTTGTGATTGGAAGCAATGACATCTTTGGCTATCATGAGTCGTCTGATTTGCGTAAAAAGTACTCCCCACAGCAATACGTGGAGTCCATGGCCTCCACTCTCAAGTCCCAGCTTAAGGTACTATCTCTTTTATGGAAATGAGTGGCTGTGATTTCGCGCAACCTTTTTCCTTTTCTTATAAGATAAAAAAAAAAGTGCATAAGATAAGATTTGAATGGCCCTTGTTTCACTGTGATGAATATTTTGTTGGATATAACCTGTTAGTAATCATAGATTTCGAGAATGGTATGATATTGTCCATTTTGAGCATAAACTTTGGTGGCCTTGCTTTGGGCTTCCCAAAACATCTCATACAAGATTGTATTTTTTATGAACCCATGATCATTTTCTAAATTAGCTAATGTAGGACTCCCTCCCCAGCAATTCTCAACAATCCTCCCCTCGAACAAAGTAAACTATAGAGCCTTCCCTAAGGCCTATGGAGCCATTGAACAACCTCCCCTTAATCTCGACTCCTTCTCTAGAGTCCTCGAACAAAGTACACCATTTGTTCGACACTTGAATCACTTTTGACTACACATTTGAGACTCACAACTTATTTGTTTGACATTTGATGATTCTATTGACATGACTAAGTTAAGAGCATGAATCTGATATCATGTTAGAAATCACAAATCTCCACGATTGTATGATATTGTCCACTTTGAGAATAAACTCTCATGACTTTGCTTTGGGCTTCCTCAAAAAAACCTCATACCAATGGATATGTATTCCTTACTTATGAACTCAGAATCATCCTCTAAATTAGCCACGTCGAAATTATCAAAATAAACAAAGGAAGCAAAAAGACAACAAAAGGGGAGGGATCTTTTGAAACAAAGAAACCTTAAGCACTTAGCTTTTCAATTTTCTCTATGTTGTCAGTAAAATTGGCATACATCTAGTGAATGTTTATAGTGAAAAAAACACAACTAATTTCTTAAACTTTCTCCTCAAGTTAAATACCACTAATAATCTTCTTTCTCTCATTAAAACGACAGCGATTATATGGGTATGGAGCAAGAAAATACGTGGTGACAGGAATAGGATTAGTGGGGTGCACTCCATCGCAAAGGAAGAGGAGCAAAACAGGCGAATGCGACGAGGAAGTCAATAGCTGGGCAGCAGAGTACAATGTGGCTCTAAAATCAATGCTGCAAACCCTCAAAATGGAGCTCAACAACAACATTTCCTTCACCTACTTCGAAGTGTATGCAGTCATGTCCGACTTCATTCGTTCACCATCTTCATTCGGTAATAAACTCACTCTCCTCTCTTAAAAAATCATGATCTCCACAATGGTATGATATTGTCTACTTTGAGCACAAGCTCTAGTGGCTTTACTTTTGGTTTCTGAGAAGACCTCATACCCATGGAGATGTATTCCTTATTTTAAACTCATAATCATTCTTTAAATTAGTCAATATGGGATTCCCTCCCAACAATCCTCGACATTTCTAACCTTATTTTATGATATCAGGATTCACGGAGATTAAAAGTGCTTGTTGTGGGCATGGGCATTTGAATGCAGACCTTCCATGCTTACCAATTGCAGCGTTTTGTTCAAATAGAAACAGTCATTTGTTTTGGGACCTCTATCATCCTACACAAGAAGCAAGCCGCGTGCTTGCTGATTACATATTCAATGGTCCATTTACATACCCAATCAATGTCAACCAACTCATTGCTCTATGATTCTACACACAAAAAACAAGTGAGCCCTAAATGTATTGCTATATCTCTTTTGATGTAGAGGACAAAATAAATGAGTGTCTCATCATAATTCTTAATTACCTTGTTTCTTATTGTTTGTTTTATGGAAATCGTGGTTACTAAATTAGAAATACAAGGTCTAGTGTCCAAACTACCAACTTAGAACTCGTTAGCATATGTATGCTCACGTTAATTCAAAAGCAGAAGAACGAAAATAAGCAAGTTACAAACTCCAGCCGTTCCTAAAAACAACTTTGTTTTTGTAGGGAGTACTCCTAAAAATTGAATTAAAAAGCTATACCTGTGTACTGTTGAGAATTATAGAATTATTAGGAAGAGGAGTCCCATGGGTAAAGATTTTGGAGAGATATATTTGGTATACATACGTGTATAAACTATATTTGGTAAAAATGGGATATATATGTGATAGATTATGTCTAAATCTTTTAAAGCTATACTTAGTAAATTGAAATCCTATATATACCATGCTTACAAAATGTATTTTTCTTCTGATTGTCTTAGGGGGATGGTGTACATATACCTGAAGTCCATCTCTTTTGATGGTGTATCAATGAAACCTTTAACCAATAAACGCTTAACTTGAAGGCTAAGACCCTTGAAAATAGAGATTCCATTTGAGCTTGTTTTGGAAAGATGGCTAAGGACCCTTGGAAATAGAGATTCCATTTGAGCTTGTTTTGGAAAGATTATTGAATTTGGGCATTTTTTTTATAGGATTGAAATTGGTGTTGGAAACCTACCCAATTGATTCTTGGTATGGTAAGGAACATTTCTCACAGGAGGCTCGAAGCCTAACAAGCTAAGGAACACAAGGAATTTCTCGTGGAAACTTTCGTGTAAGAGTTTTCCCACTCTCTATAAATTGAAAAATTTCCCTCACACACTAATTCTCATTGTCTAAGGCTTATTCCGTAGGGTCGTGGAGAGATTTGAAACAACTTTGATGAAGGAAATGAAAACTGAAAAGGTTTGAAACGTCTTACTCAAAGTGCTAGTGAGTTTAAGACACAAAATCTGAGAGCTTTGACTCCAAAATTCTCCCCTTACAATATGATTTGTGATATGAGTCCTAATCTTGAAGCTAGGGTTGTAAGAGAAGCATCTTTGTAAAAGAATGGACAGTAATATTGAAAAACAAGATCCCACTACAAAGAGAAAGATCTAGACTCATTTACAATTTCAGTATAAATAGGAGGGAAGGAACTAGGGCGAACACTCTATGATTTGGGGGGCGAGCAACAACTTAATGTCTCTATCCATTTATACGAAGTTAGGCAATGGTGAGGTTAGACCAATTACAGTCACCATCCAACTAGCAAATCGATCCCTCACTTACCCAGAAGGTTGTTTCGTTCTCCTCCCCAACCAATGTGGGATATCACAAGGTTTCCACACCCTTATAAAAGGTGTTTCGTTCTCCTCCCCAACCAATGTGAGATATCACAATGTCCCACATTACTTAAAGGTGAGAAGTGGGGGGTTGGCCTCCACTACAGAAGGGAGATCCCTCACTTCAATTTAGCATCTCACTTGAACTCAGCATTTTCGCTAATCTAACTTGGGTCTGATATGCTTGAACCCTTTCCTCGTTTCAATTCTTAGGAAGCGTTTAAGGTTAGTACGGTACCTCTTAGGTAGTTTAAATTTTTGGAGTAAGTTTAAAGTATCTATGCATAATTAGGGAAAACTAAGTGAGCCAATTCTCATAGTAAAATTCTAATTTACAATGTTGGACTCCTTAGGTAGAATTAAATTTCAGAGAGTAGCGTTAAGCCAGCATCGAGGGGTCGTAGTAGCTTCGGCCTAGGCCAACCAAGTAAGTGGTCTTACTGTCATTTTGGTTAAAAGTTGATGTTTGTATGATGACATGTGCCCCTTGGTTCTGCACGTATATATGTTTGATATGTGTGATATATTTATGAAACGATATGACTATAATATATTTATATGAATATGACATGTTAATGAAACGATATGACACCCTAAACCCTAAACCCCGATATACAGCTAGAGATTTGATAAATAAATAAAGATATATATATATATATAAGAAAAACGCTAGAGGGGTTGTAATACATGATAATGAAAAAGGATAAATGTTGAGACCTCATGCATTATCGTGTGTTCATTAGTTGGGGGATACCCCTTCTCCTTTTACGATAATATGGACTCGTATATTATGAGGCAGGAAAACGATCATTATGTTTACCGTAATGCTGCTATGACGGCCGCTATTCCTAACAGGTGTTCGACATCAATAACTACTATAGAATGTTCGCCCGGCCAGAAAAGGCCCAAAAGGTGTGCGAACCGACTGATGGGTTCATACTCGCACGTGTGGACCGTGTGTAGAAAAGTAAATACACATCCAATTGTCCACTTAGGACAACCGTTATAGGAAAATAGACTCATATGATAGGTCACACTCATGATTGTATATGTTAACCCTAATATTTCAAGCGGAGGTCTCACTCATGTATGTGTTTGCATCTAACCCCAGTATTATAGGTTAACCCCAATATTATAGGTCCCACTCATGGGTCACTTATTGAGTATTTCTTAAGATACTCAAATCACGTGCTAGTTCTATTTTAGGCAAAAGCAAGACATCCCTATACAGCTGACGACGACATCATAATTCGAGACTATAACACATGCATAGGGTAGTTGTACATAATTTCTTAGACTTAGGTTATAATATGGTGTTTTTAATTTTAATGCTTATTTATTTCATTTAGTACTTCTTTGTGTCGTTTTAAAGATATTTTTGAACCTTTATTGGAATACGTTTAGGCATGAATCAAGAATTGGGTAGAAATTACAAAAATGCCTTTATTGCACCTTTTACGTGATTTCATGGTTTTAATGAATTCAAATGACATTTTACTTATTTTCCAAAAAATCATTCATGAAAAGATGCATAACTTATTCATGAGATTATACAAAGATGATATGTTTACGACCTTGAATTTGGGCTTATGAACCTTACAATATGACGCATGCCTAGATTATGCTTATATGAAAGAACCTTAAAGCTATAACTCAATAACTTATAAACCTAAGGTTAAAGAACCATGTCCAGTAGGTTGGTTCTTGGATATGCACCACTCAAGCCCTAAACCTATCGGGACACTTATAGTTTTTTACTAAAAGAGGTGGATGCCTTCTTCTATGGGACGATAGACTTAGACTATGTTGTTGTACCAGAGCTACGCAAAAGATTAACAAAGATAAACGAGCTCAAAACCAAGAACTTAAGCCACACACTTATGCTTGCGAATTCAAAATTGTAGGACCAAGATCCTCCACATGAAAACTACATTTAAGAACTTATAACTCAGGATGAGAACCTAAAGATCAAGGTCCTTGGAACAAAAACCAAGACATGTCTTATGATGAAGATAAGACTATAGTACCCTAACATGCACCATGAGTATTGAGTCTACTAGTAGGCTACTTATCAAATTTTATATTCACTCTAGCTTTCACATATTTTTTAAGATTACTTGTTCTATTGATGTAGTCAATGAGGATAGAAATTTGGGTAACGCCATTCACTTGGATGATGATAAGAAAGAGGTATGAGGACATATTTTTGAGCTAAATTCATGCATAATTAGCTTAATAATATCCAAGCCCCCAACTAATGTTTCAAATGTTGTGGACCATTGGACAATTTTACAATTTAACTTCAGATGATCAACCTCTACCCCCTCAAGTCTTTCTTACAAATTTCTAGGATAGAGAAAGATGTAGTAAGGTTGAGTTTATTTGATGATCAAACTCTGAGTGAAGTAGGAGAGATTTAAATAACATCCCATCATGGAATACCTAGTTGTATTGGGTTTTACCTAACGACTTGCCAAAAGATGAACTCACAGGGAGAGAGAAGCATGGAAGAACGAAGTGTAACACTCAACCTCCATGCATTGGAGTGTATTTTAATTTTAAATGGGGCGAGAATTTGAAGCAATGAAGAAGGGAAAGTTGGCCCACTAAGGAAGGAAAATAACAATAATAATAATAATATTGAAATAATTTGAAAAGAGAAGGGCAAATTTGGTTTGAAGTTGTAGGACGTAATTGTTGGAAATTGTACAAGATCGAAATATGTGGAAACAAATAACTGAAGTCGAAGAACAACTTGAAAAGAGAGAGGTTTTGAATAGAGGAATCTTGGAAAGGAGCTTTACTGTTATAGGCTGGGGGCACAGAATTCCAAACAATCATTAAAGGTCACCTTAGTAAGGATTAGAGATTTAGGCATTTTATTCCAGCCAAATTGGAATTTCAAACCTATACCAAAAGATTTTAGAGTTGAAATATGATTTTTCTCATGAATGACTCGAAGAACGATAACAATGAGAAGGTCTCAACCTATTTCTCTAGCTTCGTGGAAATATTTGGAACAACTTTGAAGAAGAAAGCCAGAGCTCAATTGTTCTAGAATTCATAACCCATATGTCGGGTCCTAAGATATGAAGAATAAACCCCTAGGTGATGAGGGTAGCCAATGTTAAAGAACATGAGGTGCGTGCATCCTACCCCCAAGCACTCCATGATTTGACAACTTTCGAGAACGAAAATTTCTAAGAAAAAGAGAATTCATTATATCGTATGGAAAAAGGGGCATGAAGGGGGAGAATAGGAGATAAGGAAACAGAGTAAACCTTGTTAGTTTTCATGCACCACATTCTCGTTCTCACTGATTTCTAATCCAATGTAGGAACATGATGACCACATAGCTTGAAAACCCTAATTAGGAGAAGATGTAATGAGAGCCTATAAATAGGGTACTTAATGAGTAATTTTATACACACTTTTTCTACACTTCATTTTTTAAATGGATCGTAGATGGACAGTCGATAGAGAGAGCATGCAGAAGTCAGAGTCATCGTACTTGTGTTTATGTTCTTATGTTGTTTTGAAACTTGTATTTTTTTAAAAAATATCACCTCTTTTACCTACAATCTACATTGTAGTGAGTGACTCGAAGCCTTAAAAAGTGAGTTGTTACTCAATCAACATCAACAATTGGATGAAAAGATGCTAACCAACAAAATCACATT